ACCATGCTGAGGCTTCAACTTATATCAATCAAGAAATTAACATCAGAAATGAAAAAACACTGAGAATGAACATTATGTGGAGCAAAATCAAAGATTCTGTTATAAAAACACAGAAAGAAACTCTACAAAAGGAAGCAGAAAGCCGAAAACCTTGGATAACTCAAGAAATACTGGAAATCATGGAACAAAGAAGAAAAATAAAGAAACAAAAACACAAATAAGTACAGAGAAAAACATAAATTAATAAGGAACAAAATAAAAGAGGTTAGGGAAAAGTGGATGATGGAAACATGCATCGAAGTGGAAGAATTGCAGAAAAAGCATGATCATTATAATTTACATAAAAGTGAAATGAAAGAAAAATCACGAACAGATACATCTAACCGATTAATTGACAAAAACAATAAACCTATTAATAACCCAAATTAAATAAAACAAGTATGGACTAAATATATTGAAGATCTTTTCATGGACACAAGAACGGAACCAACACAAATTGATTCAAAACGAGAAAGCTCCAATAATATTAAAATCTGAACTCACTCCAACATGCTATAAACAACTCAAAATCTGGCAGAGCCCTTGGGCCAGATGAAGTTCATATCGAGCTGATTAAACTTATAGACAAAAACAATTTAACCCTTTGACGGCCAGAGAATATAAATTTACCAGACTCTTAACATCCAGAGGTACATTTGAGTACCATCAACTTTAAATTTACATCCAGTTCACGTGAATTTAGGTAACGGTACATTAACCTATGTTTAGTTCGTATTTTTACGATTAAAAGTAACGGCAACGCTGCTTTGTCTCTCGCTATTCTCTGTGATACCATTAGTATTCTGTGGTGATAGGGTTAGTGTGCAGTGATGTTTTTGATAGTGAAGGTCGTGCTGTGTTTATTATTTGTAACGGACAAATTGTTTGAAAATACAGGTGCTAAGGATACAAATTTCTAAATGTAAGTACTTTTCTTGTAATTTTGGGTAATTTACAAACTGTGCAATGTAATGTGAGCTTTCATATAGGCCGTTTTTTAAATGGTACCTATAAGTACCTTTGGCTAGTAATGCATGATTTTTTTTACATTTACAGATGGCATGGAAATAAAATTCCTCTAACCGATGCCCAGCTACTTGAAATCATTGAAAATGATGATTTCGATGATCTTCCTTTAGACAATAATGATGATACAGATATTGAATCTGACTTGGAAGAGAACGTTGTGGATTTATTTTCCGCTGCTCAAATGACACGAATTGATGGAAGATCACCTGAAGTAGAAGAGCATCAATCTGAAGAGGAATCGCAGATCGCTGAAGGAGAAGATACAGAAATTCAAGGTCCATCATCCAGAGACGCCAATTTCGAAAGAATATGGAAGAAAGAGGAGAGAGATATTCAAATACCAGATTATAATTTAGCTGAAAATGATTGGGAACCAAACTTTGCCGAATGCCAAACCTCTTTAGATATTTTTTTAAAATTATTGGGAGATTCCATAGACCATATCGTTTTTCAGACGAATGTATACGCAACCCAAAAAGGAAAAAAATTGCGAATGACGAAAAATGAATTTCTAGTATTTGTAGGTCTGAATTTTTTTATGGGGTACCACATCTTGCCCAGTATCGAAAGTTATTGGTCCACTTCCCCTGATCTCCAAATACCACTTGTGACAAAAACTATGACAAGAAAGAGGTTCAAAGAAATTCTCTCTAATTTGCACTTAAACGACAACTCAATGATACCAAAGAACAATAAAGACAAATTGTATAAAGTAAGACCTCTGACAAAGATATTGAATAAACAATTTGGAAATTTGTATACTGGTACAAGAACACTATGTGTAGATGAATCCATTGTTAAATTCAAAGGTCGTTCGTCCATAAAGCAGTATAATCCCATGAAACCCATAAAAAGGGGATTCAAGTTATGGTGTCTTTCTGATATGAAAGGATTTATAAACAAATTTGATATCTATCAAGGCAAAAACGAGGCTTTAGATAATAAATATGAAGACTATCAACTCGGTGAACGAGTTGTTTTGCAAATGACTGAGGATGAATGGGGAAAGCATAGAGTTGTATATTTTGATAACTTTTTTACTACTGTAAAATTACTGGAAAAATTACAAGCTGAAAAAACATTAGGATGTGATACAATACGTTCAAACAGAAAGGGTAACCCAAAAAACTTAATAAATGATAAAGATATGAAAAGAGGAGACTTTGATTACCGGGTCTCAAATACAAATATTATATTTTTCAAATGGAAAGACAACAAAGTGGTAAATTTGGCATCAAACTTCCATGGAACTGACTCTACGAGTGTCTCTCGAAAACTCAAAGATGGGAAGACCGTTCCAGTTTCAGCTCCACAGGTTATAAATGATTATAACTCATACATGGGTGGAGTAGATTACCATGATCAACTTCGCCAATGTTATGGACTAGATAGGAGATCAAAAAATGGTGGCACAGAATATTTTGGGGGTGCATTGAAATTACATTTATTAATTCGTACGTAATATCCAAACAGCTTTTAGACAAAGAAAAAAATTTACTGGATTACCGACGTGATCTGACAATGGGGCTCCTCGGAAAATCTCAATGTTATAACTCATATCAATCAACTCATGTCAAGACGTTATAACTATAGTGTACCTAATACTGTTTGACTTTCAAATCGTGGTAACCACTGGCCCAAATTTGAAGAAAGAAGAGGAAGATGTGAGATGTGCAGTGCATATGGTGTGTTCTTGTGTATTAATGAGAAAAAAAATTGTTTTATTGTATACCACGAAGTTTAATATTTTATTATATTGATACAATTATAAACCAATAAAATACATATTTCGATACCTAAAGTTTTTTGACATTTTCGGCCAAAGGTACTTAGGAGTACCGTCTCTGAAAAACGAAGAAGAAATAGAGAAATTTTGAAATAAAAGATGTTTATATGTAACGGATGAAATAGAAATCAATTTCTATGAATTATTTTCTTATTCTCTAAATAAATTAGGGGTTTGGCTTTCTAGGGGGTATGTACTTTAAAGTACCGCTGGCTGTCAAAGGGTTAAGTGCAATAACCATACTCTTTAACAACATATACAAATCTGGTAAGATACCTAATGGCTGCTATCGACCTTTGTTCAGCTACCAAAAACCAAGAACCCCAAACAATGTAATAACAGATGAATTAGCTTAATGTCACACTTGTTAAAAACATTTTTAAAGATTATACATGCAAGAACATTCAGAAAGTGCGAAGCGGATATGAGTAATAGACAGTTTGGCTTTCGTAACGGCTTCGGAACAGTGGAAGCTCTGTATAGTTTCACAACTCTCGCAAAAAAATGTCGAGACCAACAAAAAGATCTTTTCGTTGCGTTTATAGACTATGAGTAAACTTTCAACAAAGTTAAACATAATATTCTCATGGAATGTCTAAACAGAAAAGGAATCGACAAAAATGACATTAACATAGTGAGAAATCGCTATTGGAACCAACAGGCTGTGCTAACATTAGATGGAAATAGCACGGATGCGCAACAGATAAGTAGTGGACTGAAACAGGGCTGTGTACTTTCACCACTACTATTTAATCTATATTCCGAATAGTTATTTACGCAAGCACTTGAAAACTGTACAGAAGGGATCAAGATAAATGGTGAAAATATAAATAACATCTGTTATGCTGACGATACAGTCATTATCGCTGAAAGTGAGACAGACCTGCAGACTTTACTAAACACAATTTGTGATACTGGGGAACAGTTTGGTTTAACAATTAACATAAAGAAAACAAAAACCATGGTTATCAGTAAGAAGAGCAAAGTCATTACAAGGATCCAGGTAAAAAAATGAAGATATTGATCAAGTGGACAAAATGAAATACTTAGAAGTCTGGATTACAGAAGATCTGAATCCGAAATTCGCTCAAGACTAGAGCAATCAAGAGCAGCTTTATTGATGAGGAAATTTCTGAGTAACCAAAGGCTCAATCTGCAAATCTGATATTGGATGGTAAAATGTTATATCTCTTTATTCTTCTTTATGGTGTCGAAGCCTGGACTGTTAATGTTGACTTATTGAGTAATCTGGAAGCTTTTGAGAAGTGTCTTTTTAAGAGAATTTTGAAGATACCATCAAGCAATCATATTATGAACGAAATGGTGTTGCACAGAATGGGACGAGACAGAGAACTTTTGACCACCATTAAAAGGCGAAAGACAGCATATTTGGGGCATATACTTAGAAGTGATAATTGTTGCAGCTGGTAGTCGTCTTGGTAGTGTCGTCTTAGTAGACGACAAATATCCTGGCTGAAAAACATTCGCAACTGGAGGAGGTTAAACACATAGACGCTCTTAAGAAAAGCAGAAGATAGTGACGAATTTGCAATAGATATAGCCAACGTTCATTAGTGGAAACGGCACTAGAAGAAGAAGATAACTAAAAAGAGTATCTGGCAAAAAAACGATCAGCCAAACTTTTTCTTTTTCTGGTTGTTTATTTTATGAGACACACCTATAGGTAAAGGTCCGATTTCGAAGGAGGCTCCGCCAGCGAAAACCGAACTCAGTCGACTTCGGTTCAGATTCAGTTCATGTTCATTAAGCTTCATTGCAGTTGGTGACAGAAAATTCCGCTGACTTTTCAGTTTCCGCTATCGGTCACGTGCAGTCGCAGGTAAATATCGACAGAAACCAAAATGATATTTAGTGGTAAAAATAATCACAAACAATGCAAACATTTACTTGAAATTAAAGAAAAATTGAGTCAAAACTGTTTATGTATTGAATTTGTTTACTTTATTTTTTTATTATTATTATTTGCCGCATAAAGGATACAGAATCCTTCAGCTTATAATGAAACATAAGCAATGCCAAACAAAGACCTGCTAAAAACTTTGAACAACTCGCCAACTTTAGTGGAACATAATATGGCTCCTAAAGAAAAAGCTAGTAAAAAAAGCTACAAATACATTATAATTACCTCTTAGCTTCAGCTTTTAGTAAAGGCAAAGAAACATCCACCGGAATTTTGACTGAAGTTTGTATCACAGAAGTCTCCCCATTTGCGGGATTGAAACATTGAATATTGAACTCTTGTTGTATTTTTTCCTTGAGAAATTCAATTTTTGCAGCTTCCCCATGCACCAGCATTACATTTTTTGGTTCACAATGTTGAATAAGTTGCATGATACCTTTAGCATCAGCATGTGCTGAGAAACTCATGTATTCTACAGACATCTTCACATCAACTACCTGTCTATTTTCAACTTCTACTTTTTTTGCTCCATTTAATATTTTATGACCAACAGTTCCTTGGACACAAAATCCTAAAAGATAGTTTTTCAGCAATAATTACATATTATATGTTTTATATTTTACATTAATTTGCAAGATACAACATAAGGGATAAAACCACTGTAGAGGTCTGTAATAAAGGATATTTTGTAATTTTTTAAGTAACAATATGATTGTAGGGAAGTCAATTTCAAGTAGTACTAGATAAAGTGGTATTTGGGCTTCATACAGCTTTCTACACTGCAAACTGAAAGATCTTTTGTGTTTATCTCACATCTATGTTTGTGTGTTTAGGTCAGGCTTAGAGCCTGTTGTCAGACTTTTTTGGGTTGTGGCATTACTTCAAGAGCTATTTAAAACTCTTCCTTTATGTGACATTGCTGGTTTTCCTGACAACTAAGGTTGTACTCCCACTTGGCTGTACTCACTTCACAGAAACAGTGATCACAACCAAGCAAATAAGGTCTTAAGGTTCCCAATAAAAGGGGGGAGAGAGACTAATAATGTTGTGTGTGTTCAAATAAATTATTTATTCAATAAATTAAAGCTTATTGAAAAAACAGTAAATACTTCTCTATCAAACATATCAGAATGTTGTTTATGGGGACAACAATTAGCAGTAGTAAATAGAGATGTGAATTGTTTGACTTATATTGTGTGCTGTCTTAAATAATCATGTTTTGAGAAAAAGTCTTTTGAGATACATAAATATGAATAAAATCATATTCACTTAAAAACATGTATCTTGGATTTATTAACAAAAAACGAATTACAATAAATTTTATTAAAGATAATTGTGGCTAAATTTTGCCAGGCAACTCAGCTATCATTCATATAATTAAGTTTCATCAAAAAAACAGACACTTGCAGATGTAAGCAGCTGAATCTATATCAAAAATCATTTAGCAATTCTTAAAAATGTCTTTACCTGGCATTATTATCATATTATTTTCATTTGGAGCCCACTTTTTGAAGATATGCAGACTTAACCCAGCGTGAAGCATTCCAGGAGTAGCAAACACAACCATAGGACCTGGATTGTCTATGAATTGTCTGTCAAAAGCTTTTATATGTTTAAAATCAAACATATTTCTTTGCACAAATGTTTTCCTTATTTTTTGGTTAGTCCATGTAATAAACATCTTATAGTAATTATTTGCTTTTTCTGTTAATCCCAATGCAAAGTAAATTGGGGCTTTTAGATTCATTCTCTCCCAATATGTTTCTAAAAGTATACAAAGTTCCTGAGCTCTACCAAGAGCAAATACTGGAATTAATACTTTTCCTCCTCTATCTACACACTCATGTACTTTTTTGAGAAAGTCTTTTTCACGACAGCGTTTTGAATCTCTTATTGTAGTAGCATAAGTTGATTCTGAAATAAGTAAGTCTGGTCTACACTTATCTATCCAAGCAGCACCTAAATGTCTATCCGGAGTCATATTATAATCTCCTGTATACACAACAGATTGATTTCCTACTCTTATCCAAAACATAGCTGCTCCTAGTACATGTCCTGCATAATAGGCCTTAATTTCTATTTCACTATCTACCATAACAGACTGATGTAGTGTAACAGCTACTACTTTTTTCATACAGTCTTTTATCATCTGTGACGTGAAAAAATTGAGGTCACCCTTTTTCTCTACAGAAACTTTCCTCATATCCTCTAATAAAATGGGAGCTATTGCTTTTGTGGGATGAGTCATGTATATGGGTCCTGTGTACCCTATCATCTCAGACATGTATGGCAACGCACCACAGTGGTCTAAATGAAAGTGAGATATTATAACACAGTCTATAAAAGCTGATATAGGACCATCACAAATATAAGTAAAGTCAGGAAATCTCCTTTCGTCGTTATAACCCATATGCATACCACAATCCAACATTATATTTTTTCCTCCCATTGATAAAAGTAAACAACTTCTTCCTACATCTTGGCCTGCACCAAGAGGAGTAACTTTAATCTCCGGCATTGCGATTACTGTGGAATCAAAATATTAATTAATTCAATTGTGCATTTTGTGGTTATGTTATCAAGATACAAAACAAACAGTCTTCTTTTTTACTTTTTTAAATTAATATTTCGCTCAGGTTCAAGCATAGACATACGTCTGAGGGTCCAAGACTCCAAGAGATTACTTATCCCTATCCATCATCCATATAGTATAATAATATATCGATGGTCATAACCAATATGTGGTCTTTGTCCGATTATTTGCCATGAGTTTGTATAAGAGTAATAAAAAATACGTGTTTTGTTGAAAATACGAATTTCCAGCTGACGGTTAACTTTAAGGAAAGTACAAGCTGAACATAGCCGCAAATGTCAACCGTGGAAAAAAATATTTCAATTTGGCAGTGCTGGCATATTTTTATAATGTATATGTCGTAAGCTTTAAATATAAAGAGAGAAAGCTTTAGAAAAGTACATTTTGATGATTTTATGTTATGAATTCAGCAATTGTTTATTTATATAAAACAAGGACGAGAAAACATTTGATTCTTTGGAGATTAATTGCAGTTAATTATTAGAAAAAATTTTTGGCAATTGCCCTTTGATAGATTTTCGGATAGACTTGGCAATCAACAAACCACCAGTTGCCAGATTGTAACATATGTTTGCAATTAATCTCGAAAGAGAGAAATATTTACTCGTTATTGTTTTATATAAATTAAAAATTGCACAATTCATAACATAATATATAATATAATCAAAATGTACTTTTTAAAAGCTTTCCCTCTTTATATTTGAACCAAAATATTTTGTTCCGTGGTTGACATTTGCGGCTATGTTCAGCTTGAACTTTCGGTAAACTCTTCTTCTTCTTTTTGCGTTTTATGGCCTCCACCTCTTAGTACGTGGCCATTCGGTAAACTCAACAATGCTCAACACAGTATAAATAACAACACAGTTGTTGTCTATACTGTGGCTCAACAATTAAAGTTAACCCCAAAAACAAATGTATAGTCCATGTTCTCTGTGAAGATCATTCAAGTGAGAATTTGAAGATGTTTGTTCTCGTTCTCTATTCTCTTGGTACGTATGTGGTTATCTTACAACATTCACTTTTCACTTCATGTGTATCTGTGATCTGCGACTGCGATTTTTTATAGTACCAAAAAAATTACATATATTCGTGATTGTTCGTGATCTTAACTTTAAGTTTAGGCGTAGATTGAAAAATTGGATAATTTCCCAATTTCAATTAATGGTTTAAGTCTGGTCTTAGTCACAGGTCTGGTAATCTACCATTCTCTTTTCATTTGTTGGTGACAAATGATTATTTAAATTTAAAAGCATTAAACTGTGGCATCAGTAAATAAGATCACCAGCACATCCTTCTCTGGTAATGAATTGGTAAAATTGATTTTCTAGTCAAAAAACTGGTTTTAGTAAATTGGATGTTTTAAAATTTGAGATTATATCACTTTTAAATATAGAACATTGCAGTATCCAGTAGAAGCAGGTAATAAAAAAAATTGTGTGAATCACTTAAGGCAGCTTTGCTTCGCTAACCTTAAAAAAAAATGCTTAAGCGTAAAATTTCGGAAAGCACGGAAGAGAATGTTAAGCAAGTTAAAGTGGAAAGTAATAAAGAAGAGAATATAGTAGTATCTCAGTATTTTCAAAATATACCCAAGGTTGAAGAAACCATTGCAGAACAATTCCTACAATTACAAAATGAGTTAAACAACTCCCTAAGGGATCTGGATTTAAAAACTGGACCTGTAGAATATATTTATAATCCACTGCTTTATGCTTTTGACCCCTATGAAAAATATATAAGAAAATACTGCACTTCTACAAAGGAACTTTTATTTATAGGCATGAATCCGGGTCCCTTTGGGATGTGCCAAACAGGTATACCTTTTGGAGATCCAATATGTGTTAGACAGTTTTTACAAATCGAAGGAATTGTAAATAAACCTGAAATTGAATGTCCTGATAGAATGATTACAGGATTTAATTCTTCTCGTAGAGAACAAAGTGGGAAGAGATTTTGGGAATTTTTTGAAAACCTTTGTGGTTCATCTGAAAAGTTTTTTGAGAATGCATTACTCTTGAATTTTTGTCCCATTGCATTAATGAAATCAAATGGAAGTAATGTAACACCTGCTGAAATTAAAGATACCAAGGTATATTTTATTTATTTTAAAAGTTTAAAATGTTATACTTTTTCATCTTAAGTTCAAAACATTTAACCACTTCACATCATTCCATGGTGTTTTTAGTGGATAGGTAACTGAGTCTGCATTTCACTAAAATACCACTATATTTCCTCTAGATAAAAGACATATGATTATTGTAAATTGTGCTTCCGACTTGGTATTCAGTGCTTTGGTGTACCACGTTAATACAATTGCAGTTAACTTAAAAAAAAAGAAGGATACATCTAGAATAATTCCCCTGATAAAAAACTTATTGCTCCCATTTATTCTGGATATGGGAATCAGTATATTATCATGGCACAAAATGATATGGGAAGAGCACATACAAATGTTTACAACAAAACAGATGTATATGAAAGATGTATATAATTTAAAATTATTTTCGATTATACAGGGTAGTCAAATAATGGAACGAGCCAAGTTTTTTTAATGGAACACTGTAAATTAAACCATTTTTCAATATATTTTTTAAAGATATGAAGAGTTTGTATGAAATTTTATTAAATAAAGTTAATAATTTTCAAATATTGACAATTTTATTGAGAAAAATCTTCTCCACACATTGTACCATAAGTATGTCTTACTTGGTCTTTATTAATGTATATTTCACACATGTCCAGCATGGTATGTCATAATTGTTATATTTCAATCTGGTTTATTATTATAACTCACTCATTGTATGTTGTATAAAGAGAAATACAAACTGTCAAACAATAAATAAAAAAAGTTAGGTATATATAAATAATTTTTTTCTTTGTTTTAGGTTCGTAAAAGTTTGGAAGCAGCTTGCAACAACTGGTACCTTGAAGTCATCAGACTGCTTAAACCAAAATTTATAGTAGCTGTAGGAGGTTATATAGACAAGAAAACAAAGGACTTGTTTAAATCAAATAATATTAATGACATACAAATTCTTTGTATGCCACATCCAAGTCCGAGGTCTGTGGGAAACCAAAATTGGCATGAAAAAGCACACAAATTTATAGATGATAATAATTTGATAGGCTATTTCCAAGCCTAAAAGATATTTTATTCTAATATTGCATTTTAAAACATTGACTATTAGTTTAATTTTATTGTAATAATTTAAAAATTTCTTGGAAGTGTTTTTCAATAGTGAGGATTATACCGTTCAGTTTTGTTTCAAATAGCTAAGATTGTTAGAGCTATTTAGTTATGTATAAAATAAGGAGAGAAGAAAATAACAGCTTTTTGTAAGGTCATTTTAAAAAACTTTCAAGGATTTTTTACTTAACAATTACATTTTACAGTGTTTTATTTGTTTTATCAAAGTTTTATTTTATGTTATATATTTTTAAGCTAAAGATAGAAAATACTCAAGTAAATATTACTCTTCAGCATTTATAAAATGTTAAAATGTCACAAAATGTGGAATTCTCAGAAAAAGAGTGTCTTTTCATGGACAAAGCATTCTTTTTTGCCAAGGAAGCTCTCTCTGTCCAAGAAGTTCCAGTAGGGTGTGTTTTTGTATACAATGACGACATCATAGCTTTAGGACGTAATACTGTTAATGAAACTCGCAACGCTACTAGACATGCCGAAATTAACTGTATAGAAGATATTGTTGAATATTCCAAGAAAAACAATTTAGATTATAATCAAATTTTTCAAGAAACTTCGGTATATGTGACCGTTGAACCGTGTATTATGTGTGCTGCAGCTCTCTATGATCTGAAAATTAAAAGGATCGTGTATGGATGTAAAAATGACAGGTTCGGAGGCCAGACAGTATTCGATGTAGCTGGAGTAATGACACCTGTGACTGAAGTTAAAGGAGGTTATAGATCCGAGGAGGCCATGGATCTTTTGAAGGAATTTTATAAAGGTGTAAATCCAAATGCGCCCCCCAGCAAAGTCAAAATAAAAAAGGAAATGAGTTTATCTACAAATTTATAGAACAAGTATTTTATTTTGTGTAATATATTTTTAGTACTACTTTAAATATTTTTATTTTTAATACTCTTATATAATATTCTGTGTAAGAAAAATTGTTATTTGTAATATATATTTGTATAATAAAATGAAGTTTTTTTTTTAACAGTCATCGACCTGGTAACCAATACTTAGTAACTTTTTGCAAACTCATTGTCTAAGACAGAAAAATATAGAAATAGAAAAATATAGAAAATATATAGGCTGCTGTTATGTGGATCGAGTAGCTTAACCACAGAGTAGTCAGTCCCAAGCCCGAATAAAGGAAGAGGGTTTGCAGATGAGGCCAGGAACCTGACCTGCTAAAAGAGAGACAACATGCTGATATAACCGATCAAAAAGCCTGGTGTACAGTACTGAACGATTTAAAGACGACTTATGATACAAAGCTGGTAGGCGCTAGAGAAGGAAATAACAGCATAGTAAATATAAAACGGCCATTTTAGCCAAAACAAACCTTGAGAACACCTAATTGAATTTTGGGCTCAAAATACTTAACAATAATAATTAATAATAATAGATAATTAATAAACAAGTTTAGATAAGACTACATAATACAAATATGGAAATAATATCAAAACAACTTTTCAACATAAGAGTTTTAAACAATTTTTATTAAAAATTCTACTTTGAAAGGGCCCAACTTCTAATTATGTTGGCGACCACATTATTCTATTTACAGCAGCTCGAAATAGATCAGTTGACGTTTAGGCCAGTCCAGCACATGCATCTTGTGCCCATTTATTGACTTGCTGACACTATCCAGGCCTCTTCCTTCTTGCTCCGGCTATAAGGTCCATTGCAATAGATACATTCCGAATCTGAATCTTAACTACTGTAATGTAACAGCATGTAAATGTAATGTAATGGGAAACCCTCTCAATGACGAGACTACACTGTACACCTTATGTTTCGCTGATGACCAAATACTGATTGCTCAGGAGCATGACGACTTAAGTTACATGACTCGGAAGCTAATAGAAGAATATAACAAATGGGATCTCGAAGTCAACATTAAGAAAACTGAAGCCATGTGTATTGGAGCGACAAAGCAGTCCATTATACTAAGCGATGGGGTAGAAATTAGACACTGTGATGAATACAAGTACCTGGGTATGAAGATAACTCAAGATGGAACACTCAATGCTGCTATAAAAGACATACATACAGGGTAGAAAAGCCATATCCATGATGAACGGCATTCTGTGGGACCAAACAATATCTAAAGCGAACAAACAACTCATATACAACACCATACTTAAAAGTGTAATCACATATGGCAGTGAAGTTTGGCCAATGAAACAAAGAACAGAGAAACTGTTACTAGCAACAGAAATGGACTTCTGGAGAAGAGCAGCAGCAAATCAAGAAGAGATCGGATACCAAATGAGAGAATACGAGAAATGATGGGACAAGCATACAATAGTTGAGGACATAAAAACAAAACAGTTAATATGGTATGGCCATGTACAGAGAATGCCAGATGACAGGATTCCGAAACAGATTTTGACGTGGACACCACAAGGGAGAAGGAAAAGAGGAAGGCCGAGAAGAAGCTGGAGAGAGGGAATAGAAAAAGAACTAGAGGAAAGAGAAATTCCTCCAGGCCTATGGTTAAATAGAGAAGAATGGTGGTTAGGAATCGGAAGGCGTCGGAGAGTTAAACCGATAGTAGTAGTAATCTTAACTACTGTCACTGCTATCCTTCACTAGCTGTTTTTTCTTTGGCACAAGCTTCAAAATTTGAACCTGCTTCTACAATTCTTTGCGTGGTTTTGGTTTTGTTATCTTGCCTCTAGTTTTACTAATTTCCTTTTGATTCTCAAGATCGTCTTTATTTGGAGTGCTTTGTATTTTGTAATACAATATAAAAAAATTTAGTAAAAATTAGAAACATTACCGAATATCTCATAAAATTGACACTTTACATTACCTGCGTCCACTACTCTGTACTGAAGCATGGTTTACTTTTGCCAACCTCCTGTTGCAAATTCAGCACGAATTCAAATCAATCATTGTTCCTAACCTATATGCCCCAGTTTCCCCTAACATCTAAGAATTCTTACGCGTTTATTGATACGTAAAGATAAGTTGCAGATAATCTTTCCGAGTACGTTAAAATAAACTTCTGGCGCTTCTAAATGGTTTTATTTCGTAACTATGATCCCAGGTATTCTATCCTTAATATTGCAGCCCAAATCATAGGCGCCGGCAGCAACGTACAAGGGGTGCAGTTACATCCCCTTGACAGGAAAGAAAGTACATTGCTATACATATATTTTCCCATATAGCATATTTTCTCAACTTTTTCTCTAGAATTTAACGAAATTTACCACTTTTTAAAGTCTATAGCAGCATTTACTTGGCGTTAGTTTATTCAATTACCGGATTCAGAGATCGATTTAGAATAATTTAGATGATACTTGTAGTAAAGCCATTTCTGAGTGCAGCTTACTCCCTTACTTGGTAATTATCTAGTTAATACGTTGGTAATCTGTAAGGGGAAGAGTAGAAACAAATTAAAACTATTAATATTTAATCAAACTTACAACAACCGACATATTTTATGCAAATATCTACAAAAAAAATTATAAAAAAACACAAACTTAATGTACACAATAAATATGAGCTTAAATGCCTACACGGTTTTCAAACTCACTTATAAAAAAGATTTTATAATTTTTATCAACTTTATCAACAATATTTTCAGGTGTCGTGACTTAAAATTTATACTGATACAAAGAATTGTTTTCTGGATTTAGACCAAGGTGATATTTTTGAATAAACTCAAGTTATACTACACTTTCTGGTACACAACGTTTAAGATGTAAAAGAAAACATCGACTTAAAACAAGAAATGTAGCTGTAGCACTTTTTCTGTAGAATAAACTGTTCTCTCAGAAACAACGTTTGAAGGGACCGGCTATATTGAATATCAGTAACGCGAAAACAATATTTTAAGATCAATACAATTTATCTTTCCGTTGACCTGTCACTATGAAATTTCCATTACTAGACCCTAATCTTCAAAATTTATAACATGAAATTTCGATTTTAAGTAATGGCAACATATATGAGGCATTTGCAATATCCCTAGAAAAATACACATTTTTTAATTTGTAATATTTTAAGAAAATATCAAGGACACAAGGGACGGAAGATCAAATAGAAGTAATGATAGACCAACAAAAAATAATACAGACAAATTCATACAAATATTTAGGAACAGTAATCAACAACAAAGGAGAAATCGATGATGATCTTAACTCTCTCTCTTCAATCCTGACCCCCCAGGGGGAGTGTAGTGGTCGACGTGATGTCGTGTATTGTCCGTCTCCACAGATCTCTGTCTCTGGTCATTTCTTTTAATTCATGCATAGGTGTTTGGCATATTCCTGTAATTTGATCTATCCATCTTGTTGGGGATCTTCCTCGTGATCTTCGGCCTTCTACCTTTCCTTGTATTATGAGACTCATAATACAAGGAAAGATGATCTTAACAACAGAATGGAAAATACAGGAAAACTATTACAAGCACTAAATAGAGGATTCCTTAATAACAAAGACGAAGATGACAATATACAAAACAATATATAGACCTACAGTGACATATGGAGCAGAAAATTTGATACTAAACGAAAGGCATCAAAACAGAATTCAGGCAGCAGAGATGAAATACCTCAGAAGAACGATCGGAGTAAAAAGAACTGATAGAATCAGAAATGAAGAAATAAGAGAGACTCAAAATCAAACCGATACTCGACTCAATCAAGGAGAAAAAATTGGCAATGGTTCGGACATCTAACCCAGATGGACAATAATAGACAAGTAAAAAGAGTGTGGGACGCCAAACCAATAGGGAAGAACAAAAGAGAAATACCCATTAAAGAATGGAACAGTGACATCTTGCAGATACTACAGAGTAAGGGTAAGACTTGACAGGAAGCAACACAGATGGCATACAATAGGAAGGAATGGAGAAAGTTCGTGAAGAGCTAGGACACCTCAGAAGATTGTAAAATATTGTAATTTAATGAATTGTATTATCAACGGCCCAACACCGAAAGGTACAAATGGGTCTACTGATTAAGTAAGTTTTCTTCATATAAGGTATCTATAAAATAATTTTTATGACAATCAATTCCTTCTAAAATTCTGATTATTTTTTTAATAATAACTGCACTCGCTACAATTGTCGTACAATGGTATAGATCCAGATCGAGAGATAAAATGCAGGATAGTTAAGTTAAAAAATAGTTAGTGGTTTGATATTGTGATGTGATGTAGGTTGGAACGATTTGCAATAAATAAAACTAAAAAGTTATCTAGGTCGCCCCTAAGAAGGCAAACAACCGAGTTGTAAATTTGTCTAGTGCAGCTTTTCTAACTTACTATTCTGCAATCAACAATAAAGTGTTATATACGCAACACAGACACATGCAGAGAAGCAACCTCCGCCTTATTATACTGATTGTTCTTTGAAGCCATTATATGCATTATGGTCAAAAGTTGATAAAAATGTACAATATTCAAACTTAAAACTAACGTGACTTTAAAGTGAGACCATTTGCGGAGAATGTTAATAAATTACGCAATTTAATATTGGTGTTTGGTTCTCCGGCGCAAAATATATTTAATTACAGCGAAGCGACGCAAAAACAATTGCCAATAATATTTTGAGATACTGTCTGTAGTATAGTTGTTTGATATCTTACTAGTAGAACAGTATCAGAAATAACTGAAATCGCGATTGAGTCAACTTAAGAATTAACAAAGACGATGCTGCGTTGTAAAATCAACTAGTACTTTAAAGTTTTACTTTCGTGAGCTGTTTAATAGCTAATATATCGATTTTATAGTATATCTATTTATTATCCGTACACTGATTTTACCGAAATTGAAATTTTGGATTTATTTCTTAGTAAAATGTGTATCTATACTCGGACAGTTTTCAATTAAAGGTGACTAATCTACAAATTGAACTAAACGGTAGAGGCAACCGTATTAAATGTCTAGTAAATTCGTACAGGGGTCATTTTTATTGTGTATACTTCGCCCATGTAAATAAGCGAAAAAGTAATATAGTTCT